AAAAAAAAAAAAATTGTACACATAAAATTATAGGTAACCAGAACTCGCAAAAAGCAAAACAATTAGTACGTTTTAGTTGTGACTATAACTGAATAAAATATTATGATCAATCATATCATTCCTATAATAACGTATATTTTGTCAGCTGGAGGAAATTTCTTGATGCTTTTTTAATCTTTAAAGAGAAAAGGGAAAGAATTACTAATAAGGGCAAAATACAAAGAACAAATTATGATGGAAAATCAAAAGAATTTTTAGAAAGGCTCATATCTCGTGATCATTTCACAACAGCACAATATTTTGACATAATTGTTTATCCCTTAATGAGAAAAGGTTGAAATTCACCCTCCAACTATACGAAATATTTTAATTTTACCATAAATTATACTTTGAGGTCAGTTATATTCTTGTCGTCAACAAATTGTGTTGTATTTACCCTTCACTTTAAATCTTTTATGATGGGATAGATTTCAAGTGTCAAATACTTCGAAAATGTCCACTTATCCTATACTTGACTGTGGTGCTAAACTATCCTATTTATATTTTAGATTGGAGCTCCGTTGAAATTAAGCACAAATAACAATTTGTAAGCTATAACAAATAATAAAATTTAGATATTTCTTAAAATAGAGGAGTATTTAATGGACTGGACAAGTTACTTGGGACTGTGTATAAAATTAAACCCTTATTTTTGTGGTATTAAGTAAGTAATTTTTACTGTATTTCATTTATGCTGGATATTTGCATCAGTCCCAAAATGTTACACAGATTTTTTGAAAAAGATTTATCCCTAAGCTATAAGCTAAAGAGAGAAACAAAGAAAGTAAAGTGTTGTGGATTCCGATTCATTTGGACTCAAAATCATGGCTTAGGCTGGGGGAAATTAAAAGAAAAGGCCTTTTAATCTTTATACTGGGAGAAATGTTTTGCTTTGTTTCTTATTGAGAAGTGAAAATATTGTTCTGTTTTCATGTCACATTATTTTCATTTTACAAACAGACCATTTATAGTGGTGAAACTGATTAAGGACTTTTGCTGATTGATTGATTTTGGTTGAATACAATAGATCAATCTCTAAATTTTGCACTAATTTTCATTTAGACACTTCATTGAAGTTTGAATTATTGAATAACTTACTTTGGTTTTCAATCGCTATAATTAATTGGTCGTAAATTTAACTAATCGTAGCCATATTATTTACTACTAGTTGTCATGACCTACCACATCTTCATATCACGTATGTGCCACTTGGCATGTATCTTTACCATATGGAAAGCTTACATAGGAAAGAGGCATTTGTAGGAGGGTTCTAGAAAAATATAGAAGTTTCCCTGGAAAGACTCTAGAACCCTATGGAATTGCTAGGAAAGTCCTTGGAAGATTCTAGCTATGTAGAGAATTCTAGAGAGGAGACTTACTTGTAAATAATAAGGGACTTGTGTAATAATTTTTATTTACTCACTAGCCCCTGGGAGACTAGTATATAAAGGGGGATAATCATTTGTAACTCATCAAGCAAAATAATCAAATTCTCTACAATAAAAAGCTTACTTTAGCAAATTTCTCTTGTCTTTCTTATCTAACATTCCCTTAGCGATCTTGAATATAGTAGTTTAGGATGACTTAGAATAGCAAGATTGTGAGCAAGTTGTGCAAGAACGTGAGCAAATTGTCAAGTGTCGCACATGCGCTTAGTAAGTCTAAGGACGTGACAACGTAGTATCAGAGTCAGCTTATGGCTAAGGAATGTTAGAAAGAATAAAAGAGATTGCTAGAAGGAAGTTTTGTAAGGAACCATGATCGGAGTTACCAAGGGTGTGGTACTTGCAAAAAGGGACAAATGTGAAGGTCACTAAGCGAAAGGAGTATGGTAGTGCATGAGATACATGCGACGTGGATGACGTACTTTGGGGATGGACAAGTACTTTGAGGTAGTCAAGGAGGATGACGAAGTTGTTAAGGTACGCAACATCTCGATGTACTTGACCGAGGTTGTCGCGCTGGGGTAGCGTCGGAAGTGTGTCAACATGCAAAAAAGGGCTATGCAAGATTGAGACACTAGAGCAGTTCAAGAAAGAGTTGAAGAAGCAATTCTACCCGATAAATGTGGTATACGAGGCCAGGCGGAAGCTAAGGGAGCTCCAACAGACGGCCACAATTCGGGAGTACGTGCATAACTTCACTACCTTAATGCTGCAAATTCTGTCATTATCCGAGGAAGATTTCTTGTTCTACTTTATAGATGGGTTGCAAAATTGGGCAAAGCAAGAGTTAAGAAGACATTAAGTAGACAACATGGACGAGGCCATTAGGGCTGTTCATTTGGATCGGATATCCGAAATCCGAACCAATCCATTCAATTTTGAATTTCGGATTGGATCGGATTTCGGATTGGTATATCTTAATCCAATCCAATCCGAAATCCGAAATTATTAGGACATGTATAAATACTACACTTTAATTTACATCAACCTCTAAGTTATTACCTTTACAATTGCTAGATTTAGCTATATTGGTACCATAGTACTCTCATAATTGCATAAACATGATTTTTTCTTAATGTATTGCCTCTTTTACAAAGAAAATATACATATTAGTTTAACTTTGAGGCATAATAATACGATCTGATATCCGATCCGATCCAAA